CATTGCCAAGGCTACCAGTGATTGGAAAGGTTTGAAAATCACCGTTCAGCTGACTATTCAGAATAGACAAGCTACAATCTCAGTTGTGCCATCTGCTGCTTCCTTGATAATTAAAGCTCTGAAAGAGCCACCCAGAGACCGTAAAAGGCAAAAAAATATCAAACATAGTGGTAATCTAACGTTTGATGATATTGTTTCCATTGCACGCGCCATGAGATCAAGATCAATGTCACGAACACTCGGTGGTACCGTTAAAGAAATTTTGGGTACATGCCAGTCAGTGGGATGTACTGTGGAAGGCAGACCACCTCATGACCTTATAGACGACATTAATGCCGGAGAATTGGAAGTCCCAGAAGAATAATTATTGGTAGGTATTGAGCTCATAGTTCACTCTTTTTATTGTTGACAAAATTTTGACACGCGCGCGTTTTGGCTATGCAATGTTATTTATGTGATATCACGTGTCCTTGGACATGTGTTGATAATGAGCACAGTCAATTCTTTATCACACAGTTCATTTATTAAGCGGAGAAATGATGTTTCGACTGAGAAATTCATCTGATAAAGAACAATGTATGGTGATATATTTTCTAAGTTGAAGATATTATATCGACCATTATTCATTGTAGAATAGTTGCCGTGTATGGTGAAGATATGTCGTAGAAAAAGAAATGAATGTCTTTGCTGTATTTGCATAATGTCTTCAATAGATAGAAAACATTACCACATGTTGTTCAGCGATTAGAAAATGTATCGCTGCATGTTTTTTACTAGATGAATTTTCCAATCAAAACACTTTCTTTGCTTAACTGAATGAATTAGATGATAAAATAAAAAACTGTGCTAATATTCTTTGCCTCCAAAGTCTAAGAACACATCACACGCACGTATGTATATAATATATATATAATGTACATGTCGTTATATTGTCATTATATTGTCATTTAATTAAATTCGATTTATTATGAATACAATCTTGAAATTATTTATTAACTTTAGTTTTAATATATATAATAGTCACAATGAAAAGTGTTAACTTTGAGCTCTTGGTAGGGGTTGGCATCCCATCCACCTGTTTAACACTGACTACATCTAATGATGTATTGTGTGCTAGCAGGCATTTAGCCATTGAGGAAGACAACCTCAATAAAAAATATTCTAGTAGTCTTTTTTTGACAATAGAAAGATATAATTGTACTAAGTATCTTGTATCTTATGTTTTTACAGATTTTGTAAGGTGCTGACAAATAAAAATACTTAAAACGGAGTTAAATGTGTTGTAATTTTTTATTTAATTATATGCTTATTTTATTCAATTTTATTTTTTTTTTTAAGTACACATGATGTGTGCGTGTGTGTGTGTGTATGTATTGCATAAACAATTATTAAACTGAGCATCGAAATTCTGCTTTAAAATAAATGTGATTTACAAATAATTCTTTTCATGTCAAATAAGACGTTAGAAAATTGATTAATTTTTTTCAGAATATCTTATTTATACAATATATAATAATATTAATATATATATATGTATACATATATATATATATATGTGTATGCAAATTTTTAACATTTGTGTGATTAAAATATTCATCAGAGATTACATACTTTTTTTCCTTTAATTCTACACTTCTCTTTTACCATTAAATATAAAAATGTGCAGAAAATATTTACAAACTTACTGATAAATATATTTCATTGAGAATGTAATTAACGATCAGTTATTAAATGAAAGAGGTCTATAAAAATTTCATTGATCTTGAAAACATGGATATGCCTTGTGGCTATAATCAGGGGACTGAATTAATAGAGCGAGAAAGTACAATATCTTTTGTTCTTTTGAAATGAGAATGTGACTACTGTGCAAATTTAAATTGTTTTATTACATTAAACATAATCGTTTATTAGTCCTTACAAATGAAGAAAAATATTGTCATTCTTTCTCCAATATATACCATATTATCTTTATCATTTTTGCAGAACTTTATCAATTATAATACATCGGTTAAAAAATGTCAGTGCGTGACATATTTGAAATTGATTATTTCTCAGATGTCATTTCGACTCATTTTAAGCATGTGTCATACATTTGGTACAATGAAGGATAGAAAATACAATGCATTTACTGCCTTTTTATTTAACAGCATCCATGTGTATAAGATCTATGAAAAAATTAAATTATAATTTCTTATCCTTATATTTTATAACCAATATTTGTGTATAAGAGAAAGAGAGAAAATCAATAATATATTTACACAGTGCAAATATCATATAAAATGTAAGTTCTTTTTGGTTTTCTAAATTTATAATATGCATATTTATTATTAAATTGCATCAAAATGCACATCTTAAATTCATAAAAAGATATTTGGAAGAATGATAATACAGAAAATAATTGTTCTTATATATTATAGTAAACAGCGAAACAAATATAAAAATAATTAATTTTTTATTAAATTATAAGTTTCTTTCAATTATTGTCCCAATACGTGACCTCTTCCCCAATTATGTCCTCCAAATATATTTCTTCCTTGATTCTGTTCCCCCGTAGGTCTAGGTGCAGGTACATTTCCAAACGATCGAATTCCACTTCTTTGAGGTGGAAAATAACTTTCAAGTAATCCAGGAGTATTGAGTAATTCTGGACCACCAAGCTCCTGGGGATACTTGAATTTCAAAAAGACATACAGATGTCCTACTAGAATCCCAAACAATTCCATCATTCCACCACCAGAAATAATCAGATTAAATCCAAATAGGACCCATGGCAGATACATGGCTTTGAATTGTGTACCTGACAATAGATTTGTTCATATAAGCCAACGTAAGAGTTAGTATCATCATAACGTAATGATATAATCATTAGGGTAGGACGGGGCTATTCCGTCAGTTTTAACTTTAAAGTAATACAAACAAATTTACAATAATAAATATCTTTTTTCCAGTAATGTGTTTATAATTACACTATATAATCATAATAACTTTTTGAGAGCCCAAGTAACTTTTAAATAATTATCATGTGCTGTTCAGAAACAAACATTATCGAAATAGACGAAAAGATCCCACTCTACCCTATATGTAATTTATAAATAAAAAATGATATAAAAAAAGAGCAGAGCATACCAAACCAGAAGTTTACAATAGCATCTTTATTTAGCTGACACCACACGTATAACACACTGAGCACCATGGGATCCATAAGCAGGGAGAAATCGCCAAGAAGTCCAATGATAACGCAGCATATCCAATTAAACAACAGAAGAAAGCAATAATCCGCGGGCTTTCCATCATACTCTCCACGCTCTAACCTTAATGAATAATTGTACAAGAAATAACAATTGATCAGGAAATGAAAGCCGGTGCTTTGGTTGAGAGGATAGTAAAAAACGCTTGTCACCGCCCGCCAGATTTCAAAATTATGCAGAAATCGGTCGGGCCACAACACCAACGAAAGCGGACTCAGAAATCCAAATCTGCCGAGTAATGTCAGAACCGCGGTACACAATAACCAATATCTCGTAAATATAGGTAGAGAATTGAACCAGTCTCTCACATCTGACATTTTACGTGGTCTCTACAATGCCGTTTTTGTGCTTATGATATCGCGTTACAATTGATCTTCAATTACAGTCAATGATTGCAGAATAATGATGTGTAGATAGTACGCGGGTCACAAACGTGATCAGAATTCACCAGAGATGACGTCGACGTTCGGCGACAGATGTTTTTTCAGGTTATGGTCTACCCGTTTAAATAAAGATCATAGATGATAAAACAGTGTTACAACTTGCAAACTCGCGCTCGCTTGCAACAAGAAGTACTTTAATAAAGGTGCCATTTCATGAGACACTAAAACGCAGAATGGTCGCGTTCAGCAGATTCAACTATTGAGGATCAATGAGCGCTCAATGGTTGCTTTCAGTGAACTCAACAGTTCGCTGCTATTGATGTATCCTTATAGATAAAAAATATTGGTTGGATGATCTAAAAGAATACACCAATAGCAGCGAGCGAATCCACTACGAAACAGTTGTGTCTACTGAACGTGACCATTATGATTCTAATTAATTCAAAATTATGAACAAGAACGAATTTTAATAGAAGATATATATTATATATACACATAGATTGTCAAATTCTTAAAATAAATTTATAAAAATTTGTTCATAAAAAATTATTTTATTAAATTTTTATATACTAATACAATTAGGCTAGTTTCACAATTCACGGTTAATTCTTAACAAAGGTTCTTAACAGAGGTTCGACCTATTCAATTCTAAAATTGGAAAGAAATGAGAAACAAGCAAGTTGTGAAACTGGGCCTTATAAAATAATCAAATTTTATCTCTACTATACATACACGCATGCATGCATGTATGCACGCACACATGCACGTATACATTTGTATTCTTCGTAGTAATAATACAGCTTATATAAAACACAACACAGCAAATAAACTAAAAAAAAAAACATAGTTCTTAAATGCTATGTAACTATATATAGGTTTTGTGCAAAAAATCATTGAGTATCATATTATACCATTCTTTCTATTGCTTTTGAACGTACATGTATAAAGTTCAATATTCTGTAATATTACAGAATATAACTCGTATGTGGTTTTCTTTATAATAGTATCTCGTTAAAAACTTATTATAAGGAACTCCATGTGTTCTTCATTATTAATAAAAATTGAATATTTTTTTGTTCATTCTGTTTTCTGACCAAGAGATTAAGAAATGAATGAATCATGAATTATCTTTCAATAATGATCGCAGTTATCTCTTGTAATATAAATTTTCCTGCATTAACTTCAAATTATATACATATATATTTGTATATATGTATACATATATGTGTATGTATATATATGCGTGCGTAGTGTGTGTGTGTGTATATATATATATATATATATATATATGTGTGTGTGTGTGTGTGTGTGTAGTTAATCTGATGAAAAAATTCACCATGTGAAACTCAAGGACTTAAGATTATTCAAGATCATTGAAGTATGCCTCCTATTTATTCTACAATCTTGATATAACTGTCAACCCTCTATCTCTAATTATTTTATTGAAAATTGTGAACTTTTTTATTAGACTTATCCTATAAAATGTCTTTCAAAAAGTGCTCACAAATGATATTCCTGCGCTATTCCTGATAAAAAACTGAATCTGAAACTTATGAATCATTTTGCAATTTTTTTTAGTTATTCCACAAAAAAGCAAAATATCTAAAATCGATAAGACAACTGCAAAAAATTTTTAAGAGTCCCTCTTTAAGATATTTCGTAAAGATTGCTGAAAAATATCTTAAAATTGATATCTTATTCATTGATTTCATTCGCTTATTCGACAATCTTTAAATACTAATGTCGCGTTAGCTATTACGAAAATTGCAAAATGGTTCATAAATTTTAGACTCAGTTTTTGATCAGGAATAATGCCATATGATTCGTGGGCGTTTTTTAAGATACATCCTATATACGCATACACGCATACATACACGCACATTACACACATACACACATACATATACATATACACACCATACTCACACACACATACACACATATGTAATTTAATCATCAAAACCAGTTGTTCTTTTTGTTTTCCTTTGCCTTGGACTTTGTTTTGGAGTTCTAGGAGATTTATCTGTAAACAAGCATTTGTTGTTTCGTTATTTTTTATTTTAAAGTTCTTTACGCAATATCTTTTAACTTAATAATGCAAATTAAGAAATTTGTAATATCAATCATTTATATAATTTGTAGCAATTGAGATTCGATAGTGAAATCTATTATCATTAAATGAAAAGACAAAAAACTAAAAAGCAATATTTCATTATAAGATGTTTTTAAATATATTTTACAAAGCTACGAAGGACTATACAGAGCTGGATTTGCAATGATCCTTAAACATAACAAATAAAATCATCTGTACTCATTTGTATTGTATAGTGCAAATAATGGAATGAATTTTTATTTATCTCTTTTTCTAAAAAAGTGATCTTGTAGGGATCTGCCTACAACTTTTTTTATTACGAATAATTACATTGCAATTTTCTTAGTATTTTAGCTATAACTGACCAGAAATTCAGTAAAAATCTTCGTCATGACTTTTGCTGACCCTTAGAAATGCTAAATTATAGCTATGTGAAGTTCCACAACTTCTCAATTTCATCAAAAAAATTACTACTGTGCTATAAATAACGCGACTGATTTTAAATGTCATTATGTAAGCAATTTTCATTAACTTTTGATAAATCTACTACTTACTGATTCTATTGAGAGTTTCCTTCGGCAGCCAATCATAATCTACATTGTTAGGGTTAGATGTACCCATTTCTACTGGTACTTTACGAGTAGTAGAAGAACGCGATTTACGTCCCAGAGATGATAATAATTGTTGACCTCCTACAAGGGTCAATATAACACATGCTGCGAGGAATACATAAAGAAAAATAGTTTCTCCATCAAGACCATCGTCTATCTCTATAATTTGTACAGTTTCATTAAAGACAGCTTCATTGTAGGAAACGCCATTCTGCAGAAAAATATAATACATCAATACGCGCAAATAATATATCCCTAAACATATCGAATTTAAAAAAGTATATATAATAAATAAAAAATGTTACACATATAGTGAAATAATTCTTCAAAATCAAAGATTTTTAGATTAATTTTAATAATATGATTTTCTTATAATTTTAATAATATGTTTTTTCACATATCACTTTTTTAGAATATGTAAATATAAAATTATACTTGTGAATTCTTACTTTAAAGTATTCTAAAGTAAGCAGTACACGATGCATGTTTTCTTGCTGAATTGTTTATGTTCTAGTAAATTACTAGAATTGTACATAGAAATATGTTCGGATTCCCAAGGTGCTCACCGGGAATCATGTCACCCTTGTTTAATTTACAATAAACAAGAATAAAGTGATACATCCAGTACTCAGTTAGAAATCTGAACATAGCTTAGAATGCATAATTTGTAGTACTTTACTTGAATACAAGCAATCAAGAAATCATATATCATGTGCTACTGGCTTAAATTTTTTATTCTTACATACTTCTCATTCATAAGTTATATCATGTAGTTTTCTTTTATCTAGATCGTAAATTTATTAAATGTTTTTATATATTTTATATGTAATATCTTATATTTAATATCATACATACGGTATCTTTATAATTCAGGTTAACATTCAAGCCAAACGGCCTTCCAGCAAAGCTCTCAGATGGTATAAAAGAATAAGCTAAGGTAGCTTCATGTTTCGGTTTCACAACTTTGTTAAACGTGAATGTAGAGAAATTTTGAATATAGAAATTAAAGTCCATTGCATAACGGAAGGAAGCATCCAATGATTCCAAAACAAAGTCATTTTCACCCTTATTAATAAATCCAACAAGAAATTCTATTATATTTCCAGCTGGCAATTCTGTCAAATTTAAAATGAATTTTAGTATTATAAAAAAATATTTACATTTTAACTTTAACAGTAAAAAAATTAATAAAAATACCAAGAGTAGATAACGTATTATGAATAGGTTTTGTAAAAAGTATTGTCGTATCTGCATCAACTGAAGCATTACTAGTATCTTCTTCTGTTTCTTCATCAGTTATTATACTACTTTCTTCACCTTCTACGTCAACAATATCATCAATATTCTCATCTTCTTGAGCATAGACATATGCTGCAAGTATAAATACAAAGTGTGTAAAGATCTATCAAATTTTACATAATATTTAATGTAAATAAATTTAATATAACATAAATTTATGATATTGTATTATTTTATTATATTGAGTCATATTAAATATATTTAACACAAATTAATATATCTAAATAATTTAAATAAGTAATGTATTGTATAAAATTAAACATATAGCAACAGTCATAATTGTAATTAAAATAACAAGATAAATAAACAGCTCAATTGATATATAATAAATAAATAATAAAAACTAATGTCTAGCCCATTATAGATTTTCTACAATAAGTCATTACCTAAGTTTTAAGTCTTAAGTTATAAGAAATTGATTGTTCCAATCATAATTGATTGTTCTTCTAATATTCGACAGATTGGTTAATTTCTTATGATTTAAGATTTAAAACTTGAGTAATAGCTTATTGTAAAAAGTTCATTAAGATTTTTACCAACTGATTATAGAATCAGCTTAAATATGTTACAATATTTTTGCAATGAGTTATTTCTACTCTCTAATTAATATAATATATTATGTGTTTCAATATCTTACTATACAAATGTAAGAATTGAAATGATACAAACTAGAAAACTGTTGGAATATTTCAAAATATCATTTAATTGTTTATCCAAAATATTTCAAAATATTTAATTGTTTATCCAAAATATTTGACTGAAATCATTATAAAGCAGAAAAATTGCAAATTTAAGTCAAGTATTATAATTTGATTCTTATGCACATACTGTAAAATGTACATTACACAAATAAATTATAAATTAAATTACCTCCATTTGCTGCGAGTGCAATTGTTGAAACAATCAAGATTAAGAAAATGTTTAAGTATCCCATTTTAATTCTGTTATTCAATAGGTACGCTTCTGTTACGAATACACGAATTAATTCTATCTCAACGTCCACTGATCCTACAATGTTCCGACATAACGTGCAATTATCATGACCACGCTCTACCTCATGCTACGTGGAACTTTATCACTGTTCTGTTCACCACGATAGTCGTCAATTCGTCAACGTGGAACTGATCATGGTATCATGGTGAAAGAAATCGAGGTGTGCTTGTTCACGAGACGAATTTCGCAGATACCAAAAGCGGCCATTTAAACATTTGCACGGCGGCAATTTTAAAGTGACATATTGTGGGTTACCAAGAGAATTGCTCCTGACACCGGCGAGATATACTATTCAGTATTCACGTGATGACTTTTGTCACAAAACTATTAGACCGACAATTTTATACATGAAAAAGAGCAAGAAGCGTTAAATTTGACATTTGAGAGACAGATTTAACGGGAGCGGCGCAATTGCACACGCCATTCACATCGGTCTGTTTTTAATAATTTTTCACTGCTTCACCAATGAGATTATATAATTTTAAATTGATCAATTAATGATATGAGCAATTAATATACACACAATGCTTGTTTTCTTGCTGGATTGCTAATTGGATTAGAATCTTGCCACCGTATTGGCTGTGTTGCTGGCACTGGCCTAGTTTACATCGTACATTTGATACACGTACCATCAACGAGATACTACAATATCTCGTTCAATAAAGATTCTCAGCCCTGGGCAAATTTTCATGACTATCAATGGAGCCTGGTGATCGAGGATGATGGGGGGAACGGGGATAATTGAAGAAAGTACATGCGTATCGCGGATACGATGTGAAAGCAGCCAATACGAAGCTCCATAGATATAGAAGAGATTGGAGAAAATTGGTCAAGTGACTCCCATCTTGATTGGACATGAGCATTTACTCTCTCCCTGTGAGGCTCTCTATTCGTATTCAAGTGCACGATGTAAACTAGGCCACTGACAGCATCGCAGCCAATACGATGGCAAAATTCTAAAGGTGCATTCACATGCAAACGTCAAGCAGCGAAAGCAGCAACCAATTAACGAGGCAATTTTTACAGTGGCGTAAAAAAATATTTTTTACACCACTGCTCGTATCGCCCCAGCTGATTGATTGCTGCTTCAGCTGCTTAACGCTCACATGTGAATGCACCTTTAATCCACCTCCCAGATTCTGCAAGAAAACATGCATCGTGTGCCGCCAGCTTTAGGTTTCTATCTGTTTGTATGCACTGTGCTCTATCGATGAAGAATCTACCATCAAAAGAAAGCTCACCATCTATCTCCGTTCGATGGTTAATGATTAAGTGACAGAAGAACCTCTTTTATGAAAGTCCATTGTGAACATATTCGCCATCACGCGAGAGCAAATCGCCGGGATGCGTACCAGAAAATGCAAGTAATCGGGTCGTCGCGTTAAGAAAAGTGAGTGTCCGTTCGTCCTGCGTGATAGACGCGGGGATTCCGATAAAAAAAAAGTATTATCCGGGTCGAATCGAAGCGTGCTAGATTTGAGCAATTGATTTTTGTCGCTCCGCCTTTATCGGACGCGGACGCGGACGCGGACGTGGACGTGGACGTGGACGTGAGTTGTAACAAACGGCAGTCGCCGTTGAGTAAACGCGCTTCGCTTGCACGTACAGAAAAACTGACGTATTCGAATTTCACTAGTAATTGGAGTCCTGTGATGTCAAGAGGTTGATACTAGCAGGAAAAAGAGGGAGAGAGAAAGAGAGAGAGAGAGAGAGAGAAAGAAAAGAAGGGAATCTGGTTCGCGAACGCAGCAAACGGCGAAAAGGGGGGACAGAGAGAGAAAGAGAGAGAGAAAATTTGTAGAAAGTGTGCATGTGTGTGCGTTTCAAGTGTGTGTGTATGTGCGTGTGCGCGCGCGCGCTTGTGTGAATGTGTGTATAAGTAGTGAATGGTAGAGAAAGAAGATGCGCGTGGAAGAGAAAGAAAGAGAATGGAAACGAAAAAAAAGAGTGCCGTCGACCTTCGCTTTTGTAAAAATGGAGCGACGAGGGCTGACGCTGGCAAGGGAGCGGATGAGTGCGCGCACGCGCTTTATACCAATTACATACAGGCTATCTCCTCTCGAACGAGCTCGAATTCTCTCTCGAAGCATCTCGCCATTCTCGCCGCGGCAAGGGATTTCGTCGCAGCGTTACCCGGGTAACGCCCCCTCGAGCACAGTGCCGCCCCCGTCGGCACGTACATTCATACATTGTACAATTGTCGTCCGTCATTTCTCGGAGCCCGCTCAGCCCGCGCAAGGACTTCCACGTATACAGTGCTATATGGCACCGTTCGTGCGCTTTGACCGAATCGCGTTAAAAAAAAAAAAAAAACCCAAAAAAGAAAGAAAAAAAAAGTGACACTGTGTCCCGCTATAACAAAGGGACAGACATCGATAGAGAAGAAAGTCAAGGTAAAGAAAGTCGCGTCGCGAGTGACCACGAACGGGAACGAATCGACTGACGATGTGCCCTGCCTTCTGTCGTAGTCATGAAACGAAAGAAGGCGACGCCTACCCGGCCTACCGCGAAGATGACACTCGTGGCTCGTGATTCGTTTACGTGATACGGGTCGAGTTCGATCGACCATCGGGCGGTTAAACGAAACGTTGATTATGCGGGTAAATCGAGCAATGTGGCGTGCTACATCCGTCGTCGTTGCCGTCAAGTGCCGTCGCGTGATGGAGCCGTCGCGTTACGACTACGACGCGTTATTCGGAACGCGATGCGTTCGTATGTTCGTACGTTCGTACGTTCTCGGCACGCGACATCGCAATCGTTTATATTGCGACGGTTTCCGCGGTTCATGACCCCGGGGGTCATCGCGCGATAATCTCGAGTTCTCCGGAGAACTTTGACGCGCGTGCGTTTGATTCGCGGCACGCATGGATCTCTCATTGGACACACGCGGTGAGTGAACGATGTTAAAGACATCGTATATCGGCGATCTTGTTGTACGCTTTGCAACGAAGATGTACATACATGTATTTGTGGACTGTCGCAAAAAATATCGGAGATTCACGTGAGAAAAAAATCCCCCAAAAGAAAATGCACTTTGCTATCTTTAACGTCTTTTGACCTAATGACGTCTCAATCAGATTTGTGACATACAGAATTTTTCACTTAGGCCAGTCGATTCTAAGGACGAGTGCTTCTGAGACTTCCTATGGTCTTTTGGCACGTTTGCAGCAGTTTCGAGCATTATCCTTATTGCCTATGGAGGATTAATATTATTATATTGTACTGGTGTGCCTGGTTTGACTAAATATTTTTCTGCTTTATCTTTGTCTTCCATCTGTAAGGTAAATATGTTTCTTATATATATATATATATATATATATATATATGTAATATCACAATTTTACATTTAACAATATCTTTGAAATTATTTATTTTTAATTTATTTTACATTGAAACATTTAATTCACAATACTAGCATCGTTTTATATAAAAATATAAACGTTTATTTCAATATAATTGATAATGACATTTTATTTTTATTAAATAATAATGCAACATGAATGAGAAAATTAAATTCCTCTAAAAATTAAATCTTCAGAGATGTCATCCCGAGATTATGATAGAAGAAGAGGCACTAGCAGCAGCAATTCAAGCAGGCTGCGAATGGACACGAGTGTATCACAATCCAGACCACATGGCGAGAGTTCTAATAAGCGAAAAGAGATAGATAGCGTAATGCGAAAAGCACGCGAGTCACACTCGAGCTATTGGAACAAGAAGCTATTGGAAGCAGAGGAACGAGATCCAAATAGGTGGCGTCACAGTGGATACAAGGAATTATATGTTGGTAGTAGCAGTGAACCTAGCAGAGGACATCCCAAGAGTCCGAGAAGTCCAAGATCTCGTAGCCCTCACAGTCCACGACCGCGCAGTCCTCGAACGAGAAGTCCACGATCACCGCGTGAACGTTCTTCCCGCGAACGCAATAAAAATAGACAGACTGCTCGTAGCTCTACCACGGGCAGTACATGTTCTGACAGATCATGTTCCGTTTGTTCACCGAAAGAACGACGACGCGTCGCGCCATTATCTCGTTCGCATTCGAGATCAGTTAGTCCGATACGAACTAGAACACATCCCAAAGAAGTAATCGCGTCGAGTTCACGGACCTTACAGCCGCGCACGAGACCACGATCACCGCCCTTGCCACGACCACGTACACCACCACCGGCACCGCAACCGCCGTTGCGTCATCAGAAGGATTACAAAAACATCAAAGAGAAAGAAACCAAGGTTCGTCGTAAAGAGAAACATCACAATAGATTGCCAGAAGATCCACGAGTACCAGATCCTATCTCATTGGTAAAATAATAGTTTCTTATTCTTAATCTTTAATTCTTGTAATTTTTTTCTATCTTTATTGGCAAACTTGTAGCAATTATTCAATCCTGTGGAGAAAAATTTTCCAACAAATGCTTTGTAATAATTATAAAATTATATTAACAATTTCTTAAACGCTGGATAGGTATATTGCATTGTGCATAATGACGCGTTCCTTCAAAATTAAAGTTTGCCTATACTAGAAATACTTTTAAAATTGTGCAGATACGTAAACCAGTAAAAGTAGAAAAAACACATGGTACGAGTCATGGAACATCACAAGTAATACGGCCTGCACCAGAATCTTCACCCAGCGACGATAGCGATAGTTCCTCGACTACATCCCATGTAGGACCACCAAAAATGACATTATCCGAAAGGTATTAAAAACCTAATGCAATATTGTAATAATAAAACTCAAATAAATTTACAATATTCAAATTGATTTCACACAACTCTAGTTTTTCTATTAATAATAATTCTGTTTAATTTTCACAGATTTGGTAAAATGGCACAGTGGAGTGTAGATCGTAGAGACATGGAAAATATGCGTATCACGAAAGATGGAGAGAATGCGATGAAGGTCGTTATAGAAGGCGAGGAGAGAATTGCGCGTTTAGGTTACGACTCGCCACCTCCTGGTCATTATCCTGAATCACTTTTAGCACAAGGTCCAAGAGGTTTCGAATGTTGGGATGATGTTCGCGTACGATATGATTATTACAAAGCGAGAGGATATCTTCGTGATCTTACTCTCGATGATTATATCAAATGGGAAGAATGGTGGTACAAGTATCAAGAATGGCTAGAAGCTGAACGTTTCTACGAACAGTGGGCTTCGTCAAATCGTTCGTCTGGCAGTAGTCGCAAGAGACGAGGACGACGCAATAATGTTACTCACTAAAGTATAAGTCTCTGTTATAATTTACACTCGATTTATTGACAAAATATGCAGTGATATCTGTAAGCTTAGAGTACATAAAACAAATTATATATATATATATACATATATATATATATGTATGTATAAGCTATATATCGTAATAAAAAGGATTATGCAAAACGTATGGTTTGAAAGATGTAATTTATAATTTTAGAGATTGTGTATTATGTTTTATTCATACCTTCAATAACTGTCTACTACTAGATACAAGCGTTCTTACTTACGACTCAGTAAGTAAGAATCAATCGTTCAATGAGTAGGCTGCATCTCGAAATCCATCGAAAAAAGTGTTGCAACTTTTTAGTTGCTGAGTGTATATACATATTAGATAATATAGGAAAACGCTATATGGTTACAACAATTTCACAACCTCGAAATATATGCTTCGTCCGTATATGCAGGTATATATAAATACAAATATAAGCAAATGCATTAAAAAATAAATTTACATTTATTCTTGTCTTCCTCGATTGTAAGATCGTTATTTCTTGACTTCAGACTGAAATCAGAATTGTACTACGTACAAATCGTATTTTATCATTTCAATATATTCTCATATATTCTTTCACAGCTACAGCAAAAGAATACGGCCGGGGTTCTTCTTAAGATTTCTGTTTGGATTTCCGATCTATTACGAAGGGTTATTATAACGTAAGATTGTAAGCTGTAAGAAATCAATGAAACACAGTAGATTATTTTTCTCATATTCGACAATTCAATTCTTGCGATTTTACGACCTACAGTCTCTTAAGCAAGATCTGTGAATCTAGACTCATGGCCTTTCTAATAAATTTATAAAAGCATAATAAAAACAAAAATAAGTAAAATAATGATTAATAATTAAATTAATAATGAAATTAATGTGATATCAATAAGTCAAGATTTATTTAAGCTTTACTTTTAATTTTAATAAAGTAAGTAAAATTTAATTACTGGAAAATGTGATTTATTTTCTTATTTTCTCCATTAAAAATGGAAACTGCTGAATCTGAAACTTAAAAATGAATATTAAACACATTCATTTAATAAATTTCTTGTACGTATTTTTGCAGTACCTATACACATAAAAATAACATTTTTTAAATGCAGATTGTCCCGTTTTTCCATAGAAACTAACTGTATGTTCTCAATTTGAAGTAGAATTTCAAAGAAGCAAAAACGGGACAATCTGTAGAGGCCCTCCACCCCCCCCGCCGATTATAATCGACGGTCATCTTTTATTTACGTACATACTATAAAATAGGATAGTTTTGGCGCAAATTTTGATAATATCTAACCAACACGTAAATCGGAATCAGGATGTAAGATATTTAAAGAATTTCTTAAAAATGTTTCAAAATGCTTTACGTCCTAATCGTGGACATGCTGTTTACGTATTTTTAAAAATTTTGAGTCAAAATTATTCCGTGGACCAAAGTTATCCGATTTTATGGTTTATTTAAAGAACTTTATTATTTATTAGTTTTTATCATTTATTTTACAATATGTTATAATATACAAAATAACAAAATACAATTACAATTTTATTTAACAAATATGACATACAACATACATTTGTATTAATTTAAAATAATATAATTTACAAAAATAATATAATATAATAAATAAAATTCAATATAAAATAGTAATATACACATTATATTACTATAATAATAATATTAGCATAATTAACAAATTTTAATAATGCGGTATTATACGAAAACTGATCGAAAATACGATAACACAAATTTTAATAAACCAATGAACAAAATATTAATAAACGCAATGAAATATTAACAATAATTAGTATTTATTTTTTATTGTTAACTTGCGATTATAAAATTTATTAAATTTCATCTAACGCGATAGAAAATTAATATATTTATCTGTTATCTTAATTGTTTAACTGGCCTAATAATTTAATCACATTAAAGTCCCTTTGTAATATGCTGGTTATTATCTGATACAAAAAAGAACAATCTTCATAGTGGAGAGTGAACTCAACATATTTTGATTCTACGTCAAATTCATAAAATCCATTCACAAAGAAAAATTAAATGATTCGTCAAACCAACGGTCTTATTACAGGATGGTGAATTTCGAATCTTCTAGATCATTTACGATTGTAATAATTTTGGCAGCATGTCAATTACAATTACTATTTTTATCATATCTTTAACGTAATATTAAAAGTTATATGTAAAAGTAAGAAAATATGTTCTACCATTACTAAAAATCATCTTTTATTAAAAAAAAAAATGGATAGAATGATTTTTTTATGGAATAATGTTTACGAAGGAATACATTTAATAATAATAAAATACATGCGTTATTGTAATTTTTTTATATGGGTACAAAAGTTTCTCGGGTACCAACTGTTCGAGATAAGCCGAACCCGATAGTGGGACTTTAAAAAACTATTTTATACTGAAAAATTTATATAAATTTATATAAATTTAATAATTTCCTGTATTTTTTACAAATTTTAATTATTAATATCCCGCTAATATGGGAGTACCCATTCGACTCATCTCGAATTTTTTGTATCCACACATTTTTAATTAAATTTATGTATTCATGATAATATTATCAAAAGAATGTAAAGCATTTTGCATGGTAAAATTATCTAAAACGACAAAAATCAAAATTTGTTGAATATAATAATCTCATAATTTACGCGCGCGCATGTATTTTATTAGAAAAGTATATACATATATATAAATATTTATATATATGTATACATATAAATTGCTATTACTAAAATAATTAATAATATCCTAGAATGGTGGGATGTCCAATACCTAAAAAAGATTTTTAAAACAATCAACAGTTAGAGAATTAAATATACACATTCGTAATCATCAAAATAACAAACCAATTATTTGCACAAACTTGAATTTATTTACTTAATAATATGGATTTAAACAATTACATTATTATCCATATTTATCATATAATATTAAAGTCTTATTGTCATTAAGACAAGTTAGGACAAGTTAAGACGTTTACTAATGGAAGAACATGTATTAAAATAATTAAGAAATCAATGAAAATTATATATCTCAATATATACCATTTAATTCATTTTACAATGTGACTTTAAAATATATAGTAATTGTCATTGACTCGTTGAAAAAATTATTACTTTCAAAAACTGCTCAGAAAATCCGGGATTAATTCTAATCTTATAATCAGAATCTTCAACGGGCACTTAGACTTCGCAAATGGACTTTACGAAAAGCGACGATGAATAACTCTCTATGATGAAAATAGTTTCAACTTTTTATCGATACAAACCACGCATTCACTAACATTCATCTGAGCAATGAGGTTTTTGCATATAAAAAATTAATCACTAAAGACATGCTTGTAATGTTAAAAATGTAATGTCAAAAATTTTACGAGTAAGAAGTTAATATTTAATTATTGCCTTAGTCAAGGTTCTAATCTTTACTGAATTATTTAATAAATTTGTATATTAATAAGAAGAAAAATTGACAATTATTCTTAACATAAAATTTTAGAAGTTACAAAATTGTAATAACTTTTTGATATTTAAAATAAAAATCCAAATTCAAGTTTCAAAATTAAATATTTATCAAATTTGTTAAATCAATAAACAATTTTTGTTGTCGTATGTTTCGTTGATTTCGTATAATTTACATCAATTCTAAATATTATTATAAATACATATAATACATTTATTTATAATATAATTAATTACAATATTAACGCGTTACATAATTTGTACGTGTATAGTATTTTATAAAAAAAGTTTAATTTCAGCTGAAAATTCAATAAAATTTGAAATTTATTTGTTTTATTTTCATATTTAATAATTGGAACAGGATGCTGATAGGAGAGACTATTGATCTACTGAGATCAAAAGTAACATGGATAAATTGTAACACTTACATAAAAAACGTTATAAACAAAATACAAAAGCGTAAGGAAGAAATAGAAGTTCATAATATATTTATTAAAAACTTCTGTCTCTTTCTTACACTTGCGTATTTTATTTATAACGTTTTTTTATATAAATGTTACAACTTACTCGTGTATTCCTATTTTACTTTTGACCCCAATCTTCCCTAATTAAATAAAATTTAGAATGAATTAAAAATCTTATTCAATTTTTAATCCCTTCTTTTCAATTATCCCTTCAATTATCTCTTCTTTCAAGTATGTACATATGATATGTTTATTCCTATCCATACTTATCATCCTACCTATACAGTCTCTACCTATTCATATTTTATTGTTTTACCTACCCATATTTTCATTATTTGTGCCTATTAGGATATATACCTATACCTATCCACTCGTGTATTCCTACCTACTTCATAAATATGCAACAACCGCGAATATAATATTAATACATTAATGGCTACATTCAGAGAAAATAGCTTTTCAATTGTTGTAAAATTCTTTAATACGATTGGTTCTTGCTTTGGTTCCTTATGGATCTAAATGTGTAAACTATCATATTGAAGAATTTTACAACAATTGCAAACGCTGCTTTCTCTGCCGAACGCAGTCTATAATTAAAGCAGGCTTTGAATCTTTAAAATACAAAAATTTAACAAATAACAGGGCTAATGAGAGTCAGCGCGAATAATCAAGCGCAAATTTTGTAAATTTTTTAATTTACTAAACTTGTGCTTGACTCATCTGCGTTGATTCTTATTAGCTCTGTTGTTTGTTAGTTTTTTATATTTTAAATAATTTAAAAAAATATAAGAACTCGCAATTTGCGAGCAAGTTACCCTCCCAAATATTTAGTTTACCTTTTAAAAATTTAGATTGGTGTTACACACCAACCTACCTCGTACACAGATTCTCTTCTTTCTTCTGGCCAGATTGAACTCACCTTTCGTTGTTCCTGGCCAATATTCTGGCTTTAGATGCCAGAAATCGACAACAAAGGAGAAATACTCCTTTTTGCTGCCGACTGTTGCCGGCTAACTCCGCAGGCAATAAGCGTAAGATTTTACGCTTTGGTACGATGCGCGAAACACGAACGCGTCGCGAAGGGGCTATCGTATTAATGAAATTAATTACTAAATATTAATATGAACAATCAATAATAATAATAATTCTATTAATATACGAATAAATGTCACGTTTATTCAAAATTAAAAATAT